TATGTATATGTGTTTTTTTACATGTTCTGCATATATGTATATAATGGGCGTGCCGTTTCTGATGGTAGTTTACATCAGTACCCGAATAACCAAAGAATACCAAATGCAACAAAGCCTTTTCCGCAGGATTGTTCTCTACCATTTTCCATTTCCAAGCTCCAAGGCCGAGGTGGCCGTGCTGGCATGAGGCAAGTTCAAGAGCGCCCCCAGAACCAGCGGCGAGTAACAACGGCATGTAAATCTGGAGAAGGCCTCAAACCCAGCAACTTGATGGCTGGGGCCAGGCAAAAGCTTATCGCAAAAATGACTCGTCAAAGCCCGCGCAAGCGCCTGGCAAAAATGAGGCGGGTACATTTTCAGCGGGGCTGTACTGAAGAGCCCATCTGCTGTACGTGTCTCTGCAACCGAACCTCTGGCCCATTGCTTGGCAGCTCATGTGCTGGGCCCGTGGGAGATTGACCAGCAGAAGCCGAGTCGGCTTGACGATTTGTCCATAGCGCCCCTGATCCACCCGAACAGTCTGCACAGCCGGACGCCGAGTGAAAGTGCGCATCTTCCACAATTTCCAAATGCTGTCTGCACCTGGTCTTGCTGGCTCCTCAGGGTGTTCTAAAAAACCCGTGCCTCCTCTTGCAAGTACTCCTGCCAGCAGTTCTACCACCAAAACGAAAAGGGGCACCGAATACAAAAAAATGTGTTTTGCTCGGACATATGGGGATTTTATCTGGAGAAAAGGTCGTATTATTTTGGTGTGTGGGGACAACAACCCATCGCCGAAACCATTCGTTTTCTTACATCAAACAAGTGCTCAGCCGACAAGTCTCCAAGAAACTGTACCTGGCATTTCAAGCACTCAAAAACAGAAATGGAAAAGGAGTACCACCCCAAATGCGTATCAATAGACATGAAAAAGGGATACCCAATTGCGAAACCGTTTTCAAGGCCACTAAACCAGTACGAAGCCAGCGTTGAGCCTGAAAAAGGCCAATCTGACCCCCCAAATGGTTTTACCCTGGCATTTGTTGCCCACATTCCCCTGCGCAGTGCTAGCAGGTCAAGCGCAACGCCAACTCTGGGGCCTCCCCAAACAAACCCCCGGAACTAAATACGGTGAGCGGCTCCCTCAAACAATATATAACAGGTCATGGAGGAATGTGCCGTAAACACCTCAGTTTGATCTCAAAAAATCCCGTGCTACCTACTTGTCTGCTTTGCTTCCCAAGCGTTCCCGATGAAATCAGCCACTCCCTTCTCGTCAGCCGGCACCCGCACGCCGGGACCCCCCACGCCGGCGCCGGGACCCGCGGCGTGGGCGGCGCTGCCGTCGCCACTGCCGGCGCCGTGGGCGCAGCTGGCGCCGCCGCCGGCCTCTGGCTAAAAAGGGAAGCAAAGGAAAAAGCAGCCCCGCCGACACTCGGTTGCTTTCCTAGGTCCTCCAGGTTAGAACTTCGCTTCGGGCAATCCCCACCCTCCACACTCACGAGCTTACGACCGTTACAACAAATTCCTCCGCATCCTAGAGACTTCGACTCCAAATTCCCATCGGTCCTGTTGGACATTAAGCAAAGCCAGACAGGCGAGCTGCTCTGGCGGGATACTGGCGGGATCCACTGGCGAATGCTGGCGAGCCGCTCCGGCTCGACACTGGCCGAATACTCGGCAGGATCCACCGGCAAGGGATACTCAGCGGGATACTCGGCGGGATCCACTGGCGAGCTACTCTGAGATACTCAGCGGGATACTCGGCGGGATCCACTGGCGGGCTGGTGTGGCACAAGCTACTCCGGCGGGATCCACTGGCGGGCTGCTCTGCTGGGATACTCGGCGGATACTCGGCGGGATCCACTGGCGGGCTGTTCTGGTGGGATACTCGGCGGGAGGGATACTTGGCGGGATCCACTGGCGAGGCGCTCTGGCGGGATACTTGGCGGGATCCACTGGCGAGCTGCTCTGGCGGGATCCACTGGCGAGCTGCTATGGCAGGATACTGGGTGGGGGCGTGGTGTAGAAGCATCGCAAACGTGGATTCCAACATAAAATCTAACAACCCCTTCCTGTCGGGTGGAAAAAAATAATTTCCAACTTTTATATTGTGTTTCATCTATTCTAGTCGGGGAAACCCCCCCCAACAGAGGGTAAAAGGCAGCACTGGGGGACCTATAGTTTCTGCTCCCCTGCTAAAAAGTTAACTTTTAGTGGTTTAATGGAAAACCCATTAGTTGGCAAAAGTTAAAGTCCTAAGATCCAAGCAAAACGCACCAAAGAATAATATTGCTGGTGCTCAGTAGGGAATGAGAAATGGAATGCCCCCTCTAAGCCATCCGGCCGGCCCATATGATTTCCTTTAAGGGAATCCCTAGGTGCATTCCCTCTTTGCCTAGTGTGTTTCTTTTTTTAGTCATTCAGCCACCTTGGGGGCTTTTCCTCCAGGCAACCAAACCCTTTCCCCAAGAAAACCCGCTGGACAACTGGAAGCACGGCCAGCCGCGGCTCCACCTCGCCACTTGCAGCTGCAGAGTTTCATTTTTTCTGCAGCGTGTCTAGGTCCTCCAGTAGAGAGGGTAGAATAAGGGTACCCACTTTTTTTCTGTGGTCTATAGTAGGGGAACCCTCCCCCAAAACAGGGTAAAAGGGCACTAGCTTCCAAGATCCAATGTCGGTGGCAAGGAGATAACCAGTTGGCTGGAGCCTTTTTTGCTACGAGCTCCTTCGCTCGAAAATGAGCTTACAACGGGTCTGAGCTGTAAACAATCAGGCTTCGCTCTCCGACAAAAAAGAGACTAGGTCCTCAAGTAGAGAGGTTAGACTAAGGGTACCCTTTTTCTGTAGCCCCCTCCCCCAAAAAATGGTAAAAGGGCACTAGGAGATGTCTAGTGCAATCAGCAAGCGTTGACACAGTCAGCCCACGCCCTACCTTGGCCCAAGCACTTCTGATTCTTCTTCTTTCAGACACCAAGGAGACGCCCCGAGCTTCATAAAGGGTTGAGGCCATAGCCCCACTTCCCCATAGCCCGCCTTTGGTTCATAACTTGCTCTCTACCATCACACCACAAAGAGTTAGGGAAACATCTCCAGTTGCTGATAAGCTGTAGAAGCCTTGCCGGTGCTCAGTATGGAACGTGGGTTTGACCCCAGGGGTCGCCTTAAAGGAAACGTTCAAAAGGGCCCTTCCATTTCTCATTCCCTGCCTATTGCACCATCAAGAAGCAGTCAACAACAGAAGTCCGTCCGTTCTCAGCTCAGTGGCGCTATTGGACCTCTCTCAGGCTGTTCCTTTCGAAGCGCAATCATCTCCTGAAAGAGCGGGACGTGTTGGGCGGGTTTCTCCATACTCCGGGGATTGGGCTGTTGGTTGTACCCTAGGTCCTCCAGTAGAGAGTGCAGAATAAGGGTACCAACTTTTTTGGGTAGTCTACAAAAACAGAACCCTCCCAACCAAAACAGGGGTGACTAAACGGGCTCCACTGGGGGACCTAGCACCTGTTGAGTGTGTGAATCACAGCTTCCAAGGTACTTCTTGAGCTCCTTTTGCGACCTACGCAAAAGACGACTCTGAAAATGACACCGGAGTTTGGGGGCCAGAGTCGAACTTTGTCAGTTTGGGTGGAGCTCCAACCCGTTTGGTTGATCCTGTGCTTCCAGGTACCACTATAGTTACGACCCCCGGAGATAGGCAACCTCTGGAAATCGGCACCAAGAGATTTTAGCTCTGAAAATGGCCATCTTAGGAGCCCTGCTTTTAAAAGGTTGCTCGTTTTTAAGAAAGATCCGGATCCCTGGAAAGAATGGAAAGGGAAGCTACTTACCCTCGAACAGGGATTCCTACATCATACACCTGAACATTGACTGCCTTGTAAATGGTGGGAAGACCCTTGATTTTGGTGTTGAAGAAGCCACATGTTTCAAATGGTTTCAAAATGGCCATCTTTTAAGGAGCCCTGTAGAAACAACTCAGTTGCCCAAAGGACCTGGAACTAAAAGGTGATCACCTTTTGCGGCCATGACTAAACATGGACCAAAATTGGAAAACAAAAAAGTCGGCTTTGAACAACTGAGACAATCAAACAAACAAAACCACACACAAAATGCCAGGGTCCTTCTGCATGGTCTCCAGCGTGAGCCGCATCCGCTTCCGCTCCTCTTCCGAGCTCAGCAGGTCTTGTCGAGCATACCTCGGGCGCGTGGCGGATCCGTGCGCGTTGATCCGAGTCATAGACCCTCGACTTGGTGTCCCTTGTGTTTCCCTAACACCAACAGACAGGGGTTCCCAAGAAACATAAGGTCAGGTGATATCCCCAACAGCATTCGATGCTCTTTCTAGTGCTCGCACCACCCCGCAGCCCTCGCAGAACCTCGTAGAACCCTCGTCAAACCCTGGTGGAACCCTGGTGGAACCCTCGTGGAACCTTACCTCAGGGCCGCCCCGGACCACCCGGAACCTATCTGGGCTGAGACCCCAAAGCTTTCAGCTGTTGGGGAAAAAGGAAAAAACACTTTCCCTGGAGCACCAACCAAAAGGAGGTTTCGCAATAGATAGGGACAGCTATGCTATACGGGTGGCTCGGTAGGCGTTGTTTGGACACAAGAAAGGGAAAAACTCGCCCTGTCGCGCGGAGGGTGGGGGGTGGAGGGGGGTGAAGGTGGTGGTTGTGGGTGTTGGTGGAGGGTGGTGGGTGGTCGGTGGTGGGTCGTCGGTGGTGGGTCGGTGGTGGGTGGTCGGTGGTGGGCGGCTGGAAGTGGTAGGCTTTCGGAAACTACCCCGGAATTCGGTATCCTCCTCAGAAACAGTCAAAGCAATGAACTGAATGGATGGCTTGAGGGTGATTGCTGTCTATGCGGTTGCCGGTTGCAAGGTTCATAGAGGCGTTAACAGGGGTCTACACACCCCATGGACGCTTTGATGGGACCTTTTGCAGCCCACCCCAACAACAAAAAAAAACATAAGGTCAAGTGGTGAGCCTTAGAAAGGTGGCCTCAAACCGGGCTCCACTTGGGCGAATGCCCAGGAACCGGAGCTGATGGGCTCACACCCATAGGCCCGTGATGGATTTGTTCTTTTCTTGGTTGCGAAATCTGCTCCCCTGCAAAAAGTTGAAAACTTTTGGTGGTTTAACACAAAAAAAACCATTGGTTGGCGAACAGTTAAAGTCCTAACATCCAAGCAACATACAGCAAAGTTGTCACTCTCCCGCCACATACCAACCAAACAAAGCTCCAATTTTTATTCTGAAAGACTCCCCCAGGGCCACTGGGGGTCTGGGAATTAGTCGGAGTCCAGGGGAGAGACTCCCTGAATTGCTGTGTGCGTCTGCTTTTGTTTCTTCAGTTGGTCACAGAATTGATTTCGGTGTTCCGTGTGGCTGTCCTTTAAAACGACAACAAAACGGTGGGTGGGGGGGGCGGCACCCGCAAAACCAGGCACGCCCAAAGTGGACAAAGTTGGCATTTGTTCAAAGATTTGGAACAACTCGCTTGCCCCTTGGGGACCTAGATCACTAAAAGGTGAACCTTTTGGCAGCCAGAGCGATTGGCAAAAGGTCAAAAGCTTTGCTTTGTTTGGGCATCTGAGTTATACTCAAAAACCCATGAAACTGGCCTGTGCCTGGGACAAGAGCTGAATCCAGACTCACTAACGTGACTTCCATGATCCTTTTCATGTTGACTGTGACTCAAGTGAGACTAGGTCCTCCAGTAGAGAGGTTAGAATGAGGGTACCAACTCTTTTTCTGTCGTCTATTTCGCCTTTGCTGCGACGCCTTCTCGGCGCTCTGCGCAGCGTTTTTCTCTGGCCTGCGTAGGCAGTCAACCGGAATCCTGTACTAACTTTTGTCCTTAAAGGGGGCTGTGTTCATATTCGCTGGCAGCCAAGCGCATAAGCCTGCGCAGCCAAAAGCGCGCAGCACGGGATGCCACAGCAACTGCGCCAGGCGAACGCGGCTGCATTTGAGCCACCGTCCCTGTGGATCATCCGCGAACGCCCCCGCCTCTGCAACGTCTTCTCAGAGTTCTCCTTTGCGGCATCCTTCTTCACGGCGTTTTGCCTAGTCCTGCGTGGGACTCTTTCTAGTCATGTTCCTCGTTGGAGGAACTAGCGCTCTTATCTGCGCGCGGCCAAGCAACCAAGCACAGAAGCGGGCACTGCCACGGCCACGCGCCAGCGCACGCAGCATGAAGCCACCGACCACGTGTTAAAGCACGCAGCAGGGAGAATAAAGGGGTGAGAAAGGGCACCTAGCTGGGGGAGCTAGCCTATGTTCCAAGGGAAACATAAGTGAACCAAACCAATTTTGGGGGGACCCCTAAAGCAAACACACACCCATGGGAGGGGTTGACTAAAAGGGCACCTAGCTGGAGGACCTGCCAACAACCAGGAGGTTTCCCGCTGCTCAAGGAGGTGAAAAACCCCTGTTTTCTTTTTTGTGGGAATGGGAAACCACCACACCTCCATGCCAATCCAACTAATGTTGACCCCAGATTAATAAGCCCCTGTTTATTAATGTGGGGTGTCCCTGGTTTTAGTGGGGATTTATCACTTTTGGAGTGGACCACCCCCATATTTATAAAGAGGGGTTTATTCATCCGGGGTCGGCATTAGGTGAGTGGGAGACAAAGACAACTTCAGCGATCTCCGGCAAATCCGAGGCCTCGGGCTGAAGCTCCCCGCTGACTCGTTCCAGCTCCTGCCGCTCTTGCCGCTCCGCGCGCTTCTTGTCCGGAGCCTCCTCCCAGTGAGCCGGCTTTGTGTTTGAAATGGGGGGACCGCCCAAAAAATAGTTTTTGTATGGCTTCCCCAACCAAAGCCACCAGAAAAGAGAATACCTTTCAAAAAGACATCCCAAGATTGGGGACACCCCAAAATGGCTGGCTTCTGTGGTTTTTCCTTTAAAGCCAACCACAAGGCGGTCCCCAAGAAAAACAAATGACACACCCAGGTGTGCCGAGAAGGCGGCTACGCCCAACACCCAACACCCGAGCTGACGTTTGGTTCTGAATGCTCACAAACATTTCTAGGTCCTGCAGTAGAGAGGTTAGAATAAGGGTACCAACTTTTTTTCTGTAGTCTATTTTAGTAGGGGCTTGCCCTCCTGCAAAAGGGCACTACTGGGGGACCCAGATTGATCTTGGCGTTGCCATGACCCAGGTAAAGCCACCTACCAAATGACCAACAAGTGTTGCCTTGCGTTGCTCACGCGGGTGTGGCTCGTTTTTCGAGGTGCGGAGTTTGTTTGGTGCTTTGAAAGGACACCGCACAAATAACCGCATACAAAGGGGGGGGGGTTGCCCATAGCTCCTGTCTTTGTGGCTTGATTCGCTTGGAGGTGGGGGGGGTGAACCACCAAATACGGGCTACCTGAGTGACTGGGGCTTCACTCCGCACAATGGGATGCTTGTTTTTGAATAGCTAGACCTGGCAACTTGAGTCATGATCAAAACCCGGTACAAACATGGTGCACCCAGAACCATGTAAAGAACTAAGAATTCTATGATTGGGATTGTCCCCTACTAACCTTCACCAATCCCCGGGTTTTGAGCAAATGGCTCACTTGTATTTGGGAAGAGCTGAAGAGCTGAACCTTTTGACTCTTCACTTACCCCTACCCAGTGCTCCCAGTTGCCACGACCAAGTCGGCAACCAAATATGTTTACCTCGGTGTTTTACTGGATGGTCTCCTGGCCACCTGCTGTAGTGGTAATTGGAACTACTGGGTATGTCTTCTTTTACAAAAAAAATGCATTTCCCTTTGGTTTTCCTTTCTGGTGAGAAAAGCTAAGCGAGACTTTGCACATGAACCCCAGTTCCTACCCTTGCCCCAATCAGAAATTGCATGTTTGGATCCTGGTATCCATGCTTAGCGAACCTTATCTAAGTCCTCCAGTAGAGAGGTTAGAATAAGGGCACCAACTTTTTTTCTGTAGTCTGTCTCAGTAGGGGAACCCTCCCAACCAAAAAAGGGGTGAGAAAGGGCACTACTGGGGGACCTAGTTATGTTACCTCGTGGCTTGGCGCAGATCCCAGCTTTGACCTCGTTCCTTCCCATCCCTACCATCAAATCAAAATATCCTGACCACAATCTGGCCAAGTGAAGTCCAGCTGGCCAACCATCAGCAGCGAGTTTCAACCAAAGCTGCGCTTCTGCGAAAGGGCTCGGCGTTGTTTCAGTGAGTTGCCAGCATTGTCGACCCCAGAATCAACCACAGAAACCCATTCTGCCAGCCTCTCTTGGGTTCTCAAAATGGTCCCCTAAAATGCTGAGTTCCCCCCCCCAAAAAAAAACAATTGCTTGGCTCAACCTATTTCGTGTCCCTCTAAAAACCAACCAAAAATGGTTCCCCTTCCCAAAAGACGAGCCGCCCCTTTCACAAGGCCGCCGCCTTTTCGGGGTCAACCACTACGCCGCCCCCGTCGATCCTTGGCACAGGCCAGCTCCTCGGGTCCGAGAAAAAAAACTGCGCAACATGGCGCCGAGCTGATGTTGAGCCTCGGGTCCTCCAGTGGATTGGAATAAGTCGCCGTTTCTTTTTTCTGTAGTCTACTTCAGTAGGGGGACCCTCCCAACCAAGGGGTGAGAAAGGGCACTTGACCCCAGATGAACCACCATCAAAACCCGGTATTAAAATGGTCGATACCCAGAACCATGGTAAGGAAATCTGACAGGCGACCACAGCTGTTTCGGGACTATCGGTTTCCAACCCCAGTTTATGAACTTCGGGAGCGTGAAAATCCCTCCAAAAGTGGTCTGATTCCCCGGCAAACCCAGGGACACACCCCTATTGTGGGGTTGATTACTATGGGGTCAACATTACAACTGTGCAGCCCTCATGGCTCCAATTCAGATTCCGAGAGCTTGTTTCCAAAAGGGACCCCCAATGGGTCGGTTACAGTAACTGGTTGTCTTCCTTTTAGAGAACCCCTCTCACTGCGGATCGAGTCAATTGGCCGAAAAAAGTAACCAGAAACTGGTTGTTTACAACAAACAAACCACCCACTCACTTGCTGAGTGGCTGGCCCAAAAAAAAAGAGACCAGAAACTTTACACTTACCAAACTAAAACGGTCCACTTTTCGTCTGCCCTTCAATCAAAAAAGGTGGACTAGAGTCCAAGAACTTAGGAAGTGAGCCACTGAAAAAAACAACAACAAGCAAGCGAAAGGGTGTCCCGCAGTTGGAGAAATAAGTTATCATATTCGGGGGCTGCGTTCAGAGAAAAGGACACACGAAGAAACAAAAACCGGGCTTAGTGAATGCGCCTGGCGAGATTGGGCGATTCACTAAGAACACCCAGGCTTAGTGCATGCGGTTTGGTGAGATTGGGCGAGTCTCAAAGAGAAAGGGCCCTTCGTAGATTCCCTGACTGTGGCAAGTTAAAGCACAAACCATGGTGAGATATGTGTGCATCAACATAGAGGGCCTGCCAAGAAGTGTGTTTCTTGCGGTTTCAGTCCTGACCAACATGAAACCATCAAACAAACCATGGCCTATGATGGGGGAATCCTTTAATAGAAATGAGTATAAGCCTTACTACCAGGTAGATGGCCATGGCGCAGGTTTTGAGAAGCGTCTTGGATGTTCAACGTCAGGTCAGTAAGCTATAACAACTGCTGCAACTGGAGCGATCGTCCTCTGGTGAAGCAACCTACTTACACGTTGGTTGAACATCCCAGTTGGCTCATTATTGGCGAAAGTCACCCGAAGTGGTAGGGAACCCCAAAACATGGCTCTCTGGTACACATTTGTATTTTGAGGTTGTTTCAGATTGAGTCAACCCCAAGACTAAAAATAGCTTTGGTAGAGACCCCAGTACAATGGTTCAACTTCCTCGAGGAGGTCATGTTTACTTAGGGCTTAGGGTCAAGGTTTGAGGCTGTAAGACGACCTTTGAACATGGCCACGAGGATTTTGTTGGGCCAAATCGGTGTGCCTTACACATGGAAGCACACTGACTGGATGGGGTCCGGGTGAGGCCCCAAACGGATGCGTCTATTCAGGGGCCCCCCCAAAAAAAGAAGATGTGTTTGTTTCTTAGTTCCCTGCAAAACAAGCCCACAAGACGTACACTCCAAAACAAACACCCCCAAATGGATTGTGGCCCTGTTTGATCCACAAATCAATGATGTAAGTTGCGACCCTGTTTTGCTACAGGTGCCCAGTTGGAAGTGGACCAAAAACAGGATTGCAAACACAACAAATTCTCACTTAAGAGAAAGTAAAGACGCACCAACATCAGAGATGGTTGCTTCATGCTTGTCTCACAAAAAAAGCGGGGACCCTGAGAAAAAAGTGAGCCGACCGATTTCACGGCGAGCGAAACCGCGTTAATCCGCCCCATGGTTCGCCGGTTCGCCTGCGAGCGCCCTAAATTTGGAAAATCAATCGTAGGACCCTTTCTGTTCGATAAGCCCAAAGCCAAAATGGTCGATCATTGTTTTTTTTTTTTTTTTTTCGTGGAAACACAAACACTTGGTGCAAGTCCCGAAAGAGAACTGCTGGCATGTGTACGCTTGAGGCTCATCTTTCACCTTGCTTTGCAAGCTGTTCAACCGTCGTGTTCCTCTGAAGCGCCGTCCAAACGCAGGGCATCATTGCGCCATAGGATCGAGTCGGTCGAGTCGGTGTAGTACAAAATGGCATTGGGAACAATACTGTGGATGGTTGCGATCTCCGCTTCTCGCACCGCCGATCTGAAACCCTGGAATGATTCGATTACCCTGTACATACCAAAGAAGAAGGGTTTCAACCATGGGTCAAAGTGGTGCAGGATTTCGTCACGGTAAGCATCCGCCCTGCTGGACGGCATGCTGGAAAGGCATCGCTTTCAATCACCGGGCGATTCAAATTGACCACTACTAGGTCCTCCAGATTTCAGAGGATAGAATAAGGGTACCAACTTTTTGTCTGTAGTCTATTTTAGTAGGGAAACCCTCCCCCAAATAAGGGACACTGGGGGACCGAGCGGAAGCAAAACCCAAGTAGAAGTCACCCCTTGGAAAGCGATGTGTGTTTGTTTCGCCGGTAAAGGAGTCTCATCCTGGACGTGTGCCAGTTTGCTTGTGTTTGGCGCACATAAAACATCCAGCTTCTCTTTTCTCTGCCTCAACACACCCAAACGGCTGAGACCCCAAGTTTCGATTTGTCTCAATGAAAAAAAGAACATGACGTGGCGCCCCCTCTTTTTGGGGGTTGATGCGCTTGATTTCAAAGCGGCTTTCCTATCCAAAAATTGGGCCGAAGGCCTCTTTTCCAATGGCATAGCCATCTAAACCAGTGGAACCCGTCTATTTCTTAAGCAAATCTGACCTCCTTAATTTACCATGGTCAAAGTCACCCCCTAAGTGGTGGGTTAAAGGGAAACCACCCCATGTCTGACTTTGATAACCCCCAGAAACCGTGAAAATCATGACCCCTGCAAATGGATGTTGTCCGGATGTTTGAGGAAATGGATGTCTCTGAGTTTCCGGGCGTTCTGCAGGCGCGTGTTCTCCTTCTCAAAGTGCTGCAGTCGGCTCCGCAGTACCGTGACCTCCGCCGCCTGCGAGAGCCGGGAAGCATCCGGATCCATTCACATGGCTGCGGCTCAAACCCGTGGAATTCCAAAATGGAATTCCAAAATGGCACCAAAAGGTAAATGGTGTACCAAAGACGAAATTCCCGCGTAATTCACCCCAGCCCTTTACTTTTGGTTGCCACAACCCATCTCCATTCCTTGCCCGTGGCTTCCCGTGGCTTCCCGTGTGGACCCACCGAGGGATGAGCCCTACGAACCCGAAGGCTCGACCCGGAGAACCTCTCGGCGGGGTGAGGTGGGTGAGCCCCCCTTTTTAGAAGGGCCCCCTTTTTTCAGGTTGGGTCTTACAAGGGGCATTTTGGGCGTTCCCGAATTTTTTTAAGACCTTCCATGTCCATTCTTTGCAGGGATCCGAATCTTCCCATAAAACCTCCTTTGAAACCCAGGGAAAATGGCTGGCTCTTGAAAAGAACGATGCTTAAAACGCATGGGGAATCACCCGCTAGACTTTTGGACACATATATGAGTTTCCCTGACACATGGAGCACAAACCCGTCTAAAGCAGTGCCATCTATTGCATTGACCAAACGAACCAATCAAAAGGACATCTACAGTATGGACAAGCCCATCTTCGCTCAATGAAATCCTTCGCCCTGAAACCCATCCCTCCTTTCGGCCTTATTGGCCAGCTCGTTGTCCTTCACGCAAGATGGGTATGTGTCGAAATGGGTTGGTGTTGGAATTGAGGGTGTGCGCATTTTGAGTTGGTCTAAAGGGACACTTTAAAAACAACACCGAAAAATGGGTCCCCCTTGTTTGATGTTGTCCTTTGGCTTCCCTATCCCATCATAATCAGGGCATCTTCCTTTGAGAAGGACACACTTACATAACTACGTGTTCAACCTGTCACTCAACATAAATGTGGGTATGACATGTGATTGGGCACGTTTTGGCTTCATGGGGGCGTACGTCCAGTTGTTTTGGAAGGTATTCCTTATGTGGGGGGACCCCCCCAAATAAATAAATAAACACATAATATGCTGGGTTTCTTTTGGTCTCTTTGAAATAACCTAAAAACGGTACCTTTCCAACAAGGTTTCGCTCCGTCGGTCTCCCCACGTCCTATTGACATCTTTTCCATCACTTTAGCCGAGGACAAAGATGTATTGCCAAACGCCCCGCGATGGACGGACTCTTTGCAACCAACAAGTGGTTGAATCCATCCCCCAGGAAATTCCACACCTGGATGTGGCTCAAAATTCAACAGCTGGGGTTACGCAGGTTTTGGTCCATGTTTCCACTTACCAGGGTTACATTTGGGTACCGGTTCTTGGAGCCACAGCCACCTACACGGTCCCCGCTTTGTGAAGGAGTTGGGTTAGGGGTTGACCAAGGGAAACCGGCCGCTCGGTTTTTGGAAGAGCCCGAACCGTTTTTTGTGGTCCCATAATCCCACAGCAGACTCAGAAAATCGTCTTGGCAGACGCTGCCCATTGAGAATGAAGCGTTTGGGGATATCCGAACAAAGCACACCACAAGAAATGATTATTTGGGGTCATTCCAACTCATTCCCTGCTGCGCACCAGTAAGAATATCAACCCCCTAATAAAAATCATATTTGCGCCGTACGAATGGTTCGAGGTCGTGAGACACGCACGCCCGTTGTTTAGGGCATCCTGTCAACGTTCAGTACCATGAAAACCTGGGCTTTTACACAGCAAATAAAACCCCTTAAAAAAGATGGTATTTAGAATAGGGGGGACCTTCCTAATTGCAGGGAAGCTTTGGCCCGAAGCAGCCGCGGGTAGCCTTTGACAGTACAAACTTCACCAACCAAGCAATGCTGCAGCCTGTCAGCACTCATCCCCACTTAGGTTTGCATGGGTTTCAACACTTGTCTTTATTCAGGGCCAAGGGCCTGGACCCTCATTCTCATTGGAATTTGCATGGATTTCAGCCCAAGCCAGCACGCAAGCAACACTGGATTTGCATGGGATTCAACACTTATCTTTGTTCAGGGTCACTGGCCTGGACCCTCATTCTCATTGGAACTTGCTGAGAGTTCAATCAAAACCAGCATGCAAACACATTGCATGACCCTCATCCCCACTTAGGTTTGCATGGGTTTCAACACTTGTCTTTATTCAGGGTCAAGGGCCTGGACCCTGCTTGCCTGGATTTCAGCCAGAACCAGCATGCAAAACACATGCCAGCTTGAAATGCTTCCTTCCTGACCCAGTAGGACATGGCCTTCATGCTGCTGCACCTCATGCATTCTGATTGAAATCTGCATTTGCTGCATGGGGCCAGCCTGCTCTCGATCTCAAGACATGCTTCCTCACTCAAATTGAGGACACTGAAGTACTTGTTCTCATTCATGGCCTGCATTGCTGCAAGTGCTGACTGGCTGGTCATGCTCTTCAGTTTGCTTCATCTTTCCTTTGCTGACTCGTAGGCCTGCTCCTGCTTCTCCTTCAGCATGTCAGCCTTCTTTTCAATATCCTGCTGATGCGTGTGCATTCTGAGCCCAATATCTTAAGCCCTCCTAGAATGCGTGCCAGTCAATGGAAACCCTCATGAATGTCCTTCTCAATCCTTCTTAAAACACATGCCTGCCCATGCAAACCGTCAATCACTCCTAGAATGCATGCCAGTCCATGCAAACCCTCGTGAATGTCCTTCTCAATCCCTCCTAGAATGTCAGTGCATGCAAACCCTCATGAATGTCCTTCTCAATCCCTCCTAAAAAGCATGCCAGCGCATGCAAACCCTCATGAATTTCCTTCTCAATCCCTCCTGGAATGCATGCCAGCCCATGCAAAGCCTCATTAAATGCATGCAAAAGTTCTTGGCCCAATACTACTTTAGAATTGGCCCAATTCTAAACTAGTATTCCCCCAAAAGCAAAATAAGAAAAAACAACATGCCCAATACTACTTTAGAATTGGCCCAATTCTAAAGTAGTATTCGAAAACCAAGAAAACAGAGCCCAATACTAAACACATTCTAAACTTTTCCTGACCCTGATTTTTCCCCCATTAATTTTATTTAGGGTCATTCGGAAAAAAGGGGCCCTATGTATTAATCAGAGGTGGACATTACCCTGAAATATCCCAATACCGACGGCTCAACGGAGGTCATGAAGCCATTGAAACTCCGGAACGCCGAAAACCCGTCCTGTGGCGCAGCCACGCCAACCTGACAGCGTGAAGTCTTGGAGACAGATGCGGATGAGTTGTGGTGTTCCGTGTCCCCAACTGAAGTGGTATTCGAAATCTTGTTGTTCTTGTTTCCATGTGTGTGTGTGTCATTTTTAATAGGAGACCTTTTGGCGGACATCATGTTGGAGTTCATGTCCACCAACCACTTTTGGGGCGCTACCCAGCCATATTGGGGGAGAATCTACCAGGGGCGTTATGTCCAGCCGCTTTGCAGGGTATGTCTCACCCTCGCTTGCTCAGAACTCCGGCAAGTCTAAAACTGTTTGTTTGTCATGCTCCAAGCCCCCTAGTTCACCGAGCTCTTCTTCCAAACCCCTAACACCTGACGTTGGAAGGGGAGCAACAAATTGAACATTTTAGCCGTTTAGTGGGGATTTCCCACTAAACCACAGCAAGCAAAAATGTAGTTGCTTTTTCCCCCAACAACAACCATGTAAAGTCCATGACTCATCAACTTGGACCGCGATTCTATTTTTTGGGATCGATCCGGTGGGCCAAATCACTCCACTCCTACGGTCAAAAAATCGACCGGTTTCGGTACCGAAACCCCCGAATTCGCTTCCGGTTGAACCAAAAAGGGATTCTGAAGCATGGCTTCTGGTGTCTGCAAAGAATAGGAAAATGGGAGCCCCAAATGGTCGGCAGCGTCTGTTGCTTCGGAAAAAAAAGAAGGGGAAGAACCACAAGTGGCCGGAATCTCGTCTTCTGAATCTGCGGAGCGGTTCATGCGGCCATGCCTCAGGACCCCGTTCTTCGCGGGAAAAAGGCGGCTCCGTGCCGAAAGACTGGCCCGGAAGACTGGCCCGGAAGACTGGCCCGGAAGACTGGCCCGGCGCGTGTTTTTTTTCCGGGGCTGGGACGTCCTCAAAGCCTGGGATTCATGAAGGTTCGTCAGGGGCAGTCGCCGGATATCCGCCCTCGCAACTCTTTACATGGGAACCCCCTTAGTACACGGAAAGCGAGAGGAGAAAACACCGGGATTTGCGGAGGTCCCCAGAAAAGAGGAGAAGAGTGACACGCCCACAAATCACCGGACAAACGCAAGGAAGAACACACAAATGTGGGTGTGGCGAAATGCATTAAGAGCTAGGGGATTTAATTTTGAAGGTCTTGGTTCCACTTACCAAGGTGCCCTCACTTCCGATCAAGTGGATTGGCCAAGAACAAAGTACCAAATAACTATTTATGTAAAAAAAAACAAACACACACACACAAAGCGACTAAAGACCGAAACAAGAACTCAGAAAGTGAGTTCCCTTGGCAGCCAAGGCAACGGGTGTCCAGACAATTTTGCAGCAATACTCATGCTTTGGGGGTGGCTTTCAAGGGCGGAGCCACATGAGTCGCAATCAAAACCTGGTACTAAAATGGTCGTATTCCCAGAACCATGTAGAGGATTAAGACGGCGGAATTCCGCAGCTATTTCTGGCAAGGGGATCGTCCCTTACCTTCAATCCCCGGGTTTTGATTTTGTGTGAGGTCCTTCCCTTGCGAGACATCTTTGGGGCATCCACCTTTGAGCAAGTGGCTCACATTGGAGCGGGGATACGGGAGGGGGGGGGGGTCTGGGGGGGATTCCCTTGGCGCCATTTCCCAACTTCGTCAAGGTGCAAACGGGGGACTCTTCCTGTATCCAACTGGCTCCCCCTGTATCCCTGCTGGTTGGTTTTGCTGAAAAGTTGGCCAAACCCAAGCCTATGTTCAACTTGGTCTCCAAAAAAAACCGCCGCGCCGCCATTTGGGACCAAACCCGGGACCTTTGAACCCAGGTTTCCCTTAAGTAAAAGACCCTTATTCTTTTTTAGGACTTTAACACGCCCAAATCCCGCACGAACTGACCTGACCCATGAACAATTTGCCACCTCCTTTTTTTCCAACTGGCTCCTGCGAGAGAATTTCCCCTGTAATCCCTGTATGTTCCCCTGTAACCAATTTGGCACCTCCTCTTCCCTGAAATTCTCCCTTCCCTGAGTGTCCTTTCCTGTTCCCCCTTCTCCTGTTCCCCCTGAAATTCTCCCTGCGTGGTTTCCCTGAGCGTCCCTTCCTTGCGCTCGCTCGCTCGCTCGCTGACGCGCCGCTCGTCGACCCGCCTGTGGGCTCTGCGGAGGCCAGGCGCCGCCTGGCGAGCGGCGGAGACGGGGCCCAGCCAAAAAGAACGCCTCTTGGCTCCCTTCGAACACCCCCAAATATGTGTATATATATATATGTATATATTTCATGATACACATGTATATATATTATAATCTAATAGCAATAATAATAATATTAATAATATTATTAATAATAATAATAGTGTTCAATCAATCAATCAATCAATTAATTAATTAATTAATTAATTAATTAATATATGTGGGTACCCAAAACCAGGCAGACCCAAATATTGTTCCAGTATGAGGGCCTAAACAACATTAATAACTCACACTGCTGTCCTAGCTGTCCTATGATGACAGCAATGCGAGAAAAACCTCGAAGGGCATGGATTGACATGTTCGGGGCTTTTCAAAGCGACTGTTCTCGCTGCCACCGCAAAAACAAAAAAAAACAAAAAACACTCAACGCTTAGGTTTAGGCTTTTGTTTCTCGATGACAATTATTTGCTCCTTCTGTTCTGAAGCATCTGTGACGTGAAAAAGTTGCTCCGCTCATGTTCGCAAAAGGCCCCTAGAAATGGCGAAAATCAAAATAGGTGGTACATGGGTGTTCATCCGCCCCAAAATGGAGGCATAGGTTATGACCCACGGCCAAACAATGTGGAGATGATGACTTTTCTTGGCGCCAGCCCGACGCACCAGCTCCTGGCCACTTGGAAAGTTGACAATTTGGATGTTTCTTTTTTTACTTGAATCCAACAGAATCAGAAACAGGTGCATAATTTGCCGAGGAACCGAAAGGAACCACTTTTCAAGGAAAGCCAAAAGGAACCACTCACTTGAAGCTCCCTGTAAGACAAACCCATAATTTGAATGTTCCGTGAGGAGAGAAGGCGGGACAAGATGTGTGAAAAGGGGACCCCGGCCAATTTTGGGGGGGAACGCCCGACGCAATATTGAGGGTAAGTAGCCTCTTGTTTGTGGTTGTAAAAGGAAACCTCAAGGAAAACAGTATTTGTCTAGGTCCTCCAGTAGAGAGGTTAGAACAAGGGTACCAACTTTTTTCTGTGGTCTATTTGAGTAGGGTTCGGAACCCTCCCTCGCCCAAAAAAGGGTGAGAGGTCGGGCACCTAGCTGGGGGACCTAGTTGTTTTTTTTGGGGGGGATCTCCCCCAAAAAAATGACGCACCAACTTGGGATCTGAAAAAAAAAGAGGCCCGACACCCAGTTAGGCCTGCGCTGAATGAGCCGTGGTTCTGCAGGCTGCCTGGATCGATCCATCGAGTCCCCGGTGGCCCTATGTACACAAGATTCTAGGGGGTGATTCCTTGTCCATTCTTTTCAACCATCGTTCTTCTTTGCATAACCGAATCCGTTTCCCTGGGTTTCTGAAGGTTTTCGGAAGGTACCCCTAGAAAGATACCGGGCTCGGAAAAAAAAAAAACACGATATGCTCAGTTCCCAAAGGACCCAGAGTCTTTTCAGGTTAACCCCCTTTAACCCCTTGCAAGTGAGTTTTTGTGGCAGTGGGGCAAAAATAGGTACCCATAGGGAACCCTGGTAAACGGATTCAATGGATTAAACCTGTGGTCCCATGGTGGTGAAATTTTGACACCCATATTTCCCCTAGCATCACCCTTCATCGCCATGGTACATATGCTCGCGAAGCGCACAATGCACACAAGGTCACAGAGCGTCTCACTCTGTCTGTTTGCCAAATGAGGTTTGCTTGCAGAAAGTACATCCGGTGACGTGTCCCCCTCATGCATGTTGAAGGGCTACCCGGTGACTTGCTCTCCTTTCCTTGGGTTTGGGTTCCGACTTGCTGCCCAAATATGTTTCATTCTCAAACTCCTACCCTAACCTAGGTCCTCCAGATTTGAGAGGTTAGAATAAGGGTACCAACTTTTATCTGTAGGCTATTTCAGTAGGGAAACCCTCCCCAAAAAAAGGGTAAAAGGGCACTACTTGGGGACCTAGTAACACTAAAACATCGCTTGGGAGGCGCCGTTCTAATACTGTAATACTATGCGGTTTGAGACGAAGCTCCGTTCGAACTGATTCGGCAAACGATTGGTCATTCTGTGGCCCCTTAGAACTATTAAATTCCGTGCTGGAGGAAACAACCAGAATGGGCATAAATTATTCTCATACGAGTCGTACTGGGTGTTTCTCAAATAGGAAGCGGTCCATGTTTACCATCGCGACTTCCTGCTGGTTTTTCTTTCAAATGCCAACCGCATAAAAGGGAGGGTCCGAAATCCAGTGTGAGACAGCAACTGTGGCTTTGCCAGGAGGGCAAGCTGCCGATACATCGAACAGGTTTCAAAACGCACGCAAGCAAGCAAACAAGCAAACAACAGAAGAAAGACTGAGCCCCCATTGCACCCTGCCCAGTGAGTCGACAAGCAAACGTGAAACAGGCACGTCTTGGGTCCTTGCTACGTGTTCAACGGGATTGTGCTAACTGCCTTTTGCGTCTAAGTCTGACTCATCTCAACGTCTTTTCAGCTAAAGGCTTGCAGCCATTCGGCATTCCGCAAGGGGATGCCGGGCCGCTTAACTTTGTCTGCCGGAAAGGGAAACTGATGTAACATCAAGAAGGGGAAACTTGAAGCACGTGAGCTTTTTAAGAACGGTCCCAACCGGGCAACCACCACCCTTCTCACCCTGCTTCTGTCTACTAAAAGCATGAACAACACATAACCACTAAAACCCTCACCTAAAAAAATAGAACCGTCCCAACCTCTCCAAAAAAACAAAAACACATGAACAAAACGCACCCACCACCCGTCCAAATACATTGGGCTGGGTGTTCCACTCCCCCTAAACCAGTCCCCATTCTGAAAAACAAAGGGTATACATCCCCTACCTAGCGGTTATGGTGGTTGTCTGATTTCCCTAAGATCAGCTAAGCCTGGCAATGTATACATGGGCAAACTTGCTGTGTGGGAAGGGAAGCTGACCAAAACAAGCAGAAACGGTGCCACCTTGTGGCATACCACAAGGAATCCTGCACTTTCGGCCATGTCCAGAAAGGACTCTGGTTGAGGATGTCTGTTCAAGATTGCCGAAATCGAGGTTCCATGTTCTTGGGAAAGTCGGCCTAAGCACAAACTCACCCGCCTCCATGTCCGTGCATGCTACCGCATGGAGAGAAAAATCTCGATTCCGAGCAAAGCTGCGCTTAGAGATGTGTTGATCCTTTGCTATTGCGCCCAAATAACGTCTACTAAAAAAGCCAGGAAGAATCCTAAGTTATTACAATGGGTGGTTTCAAGCACTTTACATACAGAGAGGTAAACGCTACAATTAAATATATGTATATCCTCGGTTGCTTTATGCTCCCCTGCTAAAAGTTTAACTTTTAGTGGTTTAGTGGAAAACCCATTAGTTGGCAAAAAGTGAAAGTCCTAACAGCCAAGCAAAATGCACCAAAGTATGTAATATGTCTATCTAAGTAGTCTCATCTTCGGACGACTACGTAATGGCACACATTGCTCCGCTTGTGCTGCGCGCTTGTGTTCCAGGATATTCTCTTGAGCCTGCTATAAGTGACCAGCGGGTAAGTGGTCCTCGCTGCATGGTCCCTGGGCCGGGAGTCAGCCACGCTGGATGTTGGGGGGCGAAGAGGTCTTAGTTTGGACACAGAAAGCAAAAGGTCGCCAAACAGCGACTCCTCGAGATCATAGAGGTGTTGGAAATGACGGTCAGCTTCCTTCCATTTGGTGGTTTGGATTGGTGGTTTGGTGGTCCAGGAGGGGTTTCCCATCTACCCTCTACAAGAACCAAAATCCCCAAACCAACAATCCACACCACCAATTAAGGGTGACTTGCGATGGCACTTGATTGAGGGTCGCCTTTTTAAGTTTTTTGGGCTTCACAACTCATTTCCCCCCTCCCCGGCTAGTTTGACGCACACCTATGCAACCTTCCGCTCCCTCTGAGAATACACTGATTGAGATGTGTTGTTCTTGTTTTTTCGGGAGCGCATGGTAGACGATTGGTTTTCATGTTGTGTCTGTCCTGTGAAGCACTCCCAAAATGATAGCCTCAAGGCCGCCCAGACATGAACGGCCACGACTTCTCGCCCTGCATTTGCAGTGACCCCACTCTCCAGGGTCAAAAGCTGCCTGCCGAAAAAACCGGCTGGTATGGATGGTGGAGTCATGGAATGTTTGCAGGGATAAGAACCATGCCCATGACCCTCAGGAGTTTTCGCCAGGCAAAAGAAGTTTCTGTCAGACAAATGGCCTCTGCGCCATGAGCCACGGGAATCTGCTGAGGTTGAGGTTCTTTAACCCAGAGTGGAGACTCGAGGTGCTCTCCGCGCAAATCCTTGTGATCTAACGGTTCAATTGCCAATCTAGTGAACATTCACAAAGCTGCGGAATCCTTTGCGCTGAGGTTTCCACTAGTTATCATACCAAAAGCAGTACAATTCCCACAGAAACACGTGCCTTGAATCTCACGCCTTCATAAAGAGTTCAAGATGTCTTATTGGTCATGTTGACCCTCTGCAGAAGGCTTGCCCGCAAGGTATTGCGCCATCTACTTTCACGCTAGTCAGTCTAAGATGGTACTACTCAAAGGGCACGTGTGCAAAGACCCTTTGGCCCACATCTGACTCCAAAACAGCGCTACCCAGTTTTTTAACGTGGCCCATTTGAGCCACAGATAATTACACGCTTCTTGATTGAAGAAGTAGTGAACCCCCCTATGTCCCTCCCAACTTAACCATAGACCACTATTCTCGCAGACGCACAAGCCCGCCCCTTTTTTGGGTAATCATTTTCGCCCGCGGCAGGCCTTGGGCGTGCGCGCCAAGCGCGCGCTCGAGCGCTTGCTGCGCTCTCTTGCGGCCCAGAACCTGCACTCAGAGTCAGGGTCAGACGTCATCGCGCGTTGTGGATGGACAAATTCGCACCACTTGAAAAGCATGGGAGAACATTGTTTGTTGGTATCTTAGATGGTGCAGGATTTCGTCCATCCACAGTCCACAGTGCGTTGGAAGGAAACTCACTTTTACATTGCCCGAAAGCACCCTTCCCATGCGAAGCAAAAGGGCACATCTCCGAACCCATTTTTGGTGAGTGTCCCCGGCCCCAACTGGTTCCCTTAATTCGCTGGGTGTGGCTCGGAATCGGAGACTCCGGTTTTGTACTGTTTTCCCCGCAAAACAGCGGCGTGAGAACAGAACACATAGTGAGTGAAGCATATTCTCTCCGCTAATCTCTGCGCAAGTTCACGCTGCAAGTTTCTCTGCGCAAGTTTACACACCAAGAACTGCGAGGCCACTCTTCCCACAAACACCTCCTCCTCACTTGCCCAAAAGACCTGGAAATAAAAGGTTAACCTTTTGGGACCTTTACTAGAAATTGACCAAAATGGGAAAACCAAAAGGTCAAAAGGTCGATTCGCTTTGGGCAAGTGAGGTTGACCTGCCTCCTCCAGCTTCCGCGTGAAGAGCTGGTCCGGCTGCAAGCTCTGCTGCACCACCGCCCGCAGCACCTCCTCTGCCTCTCCTGAAAGGATTCGGATGCGACCGACGAGCTTCTCGGGAAAGTGGGAAGAGCCAGACAAAATGCTTGGAGCCTTTTGGTTTGAGTTTACCGAACATGAGCAACAATCAAAACCTGGTGCGATAAACCTACCCAAGCCGATGTGAAAAAAAAACAAGGGCGGCACCTATTCTAAATGGTTCGGACTGTCCGCTACCCTTCATCTACCACGATCTACCACGATGTTTGGGAATGGGTCAGAACCGAGGAACTCACAAATTGTTCGGTGTCCTTTTGAGCCCCCCTTGAAAGGGGCTCCCCCAAACAAAACTGCACTTGGGCAAGGACAGAACGACTTCAGAGGCTGTACATCCAATGCGCGATCAATTTGATAAGGTCAAGCTGGTTCCCAGCCACTGGTTTCTCATTCCCCCCCCCCCTCCCCTCCCCTCCTTCCTCCCCTCCTTCCTCCCCTCCTTCCTCCCCTCCTTCCTCCCCTCCTTCCTCCCCTCCTTCCTCCCCTCCTTCCTCCCCTCCTTCCTCCCCTCCCTCCTTCCTCCCCTCCTTCCTCCCCTCCTTCCTCCCCTCCTTCCTCCCCTCCTTCCTCCCCTCCTTCCTCCCCTCCTTCCTTCCCTCCTTCCTCCCCTCCTTCCTCCCCTCCTTCCTCCCCTCCTTCCTCCCCCTCCTCCCCTTCCTCCCCCCTTCCTCCCCCTTCCTCCCCCCCTTCCTCCCCCTTCCTCCCCCCTTCCTCCCCCCCTTCCTCCCCCCCCCCTTCCTCCCCCCCCCTTCCTCCCCCCTTCCTCCCCCCCCCTTTCCTCCCCCCTTCCTCCCCCCCCCATCCTCCCCCCCCCCTTCCTCCCCCCCTTCCCTCCCCTCCCCTCCCCTCCCCAGCGCCGCGACGACCGGAAGACCAGGAGGCCATTTTCGCAAAGGGGCAAAGCGGAAACACACGGACCAGGAGGTCAAGACGAGGGTCAGGACGGAAAGACGACTAGGTCCTCCAGGAGAGAAGTTAGAATAAGGGTACCGTTTCTTTTTTCCTGTAGTCTATTTTAGTAGGGGCTTGCCCTCCCAACCAAAAAGGGGTTAAAAAAAACGCACTACTGGGGGACCTAGACGAAGACAAGGAAGACAAAGCCCCGCAGAGCCAGAAGAGCAAGACACCATCCCGGGAGCCAAGAGAAACAACACAAGGTTCCCGGCATAGAAGACGAAGACGGAGAAGATATTTTCATGGTAAGAAGACCGACATCACAACGGGGCCAAGTGCAGGAAGAGGGACAAGACCAATCAACCACGCGAGCAGGAGGTCAAAGTATTCCTTTAGACTTGGTTCGCATGCGGCGCACAGATTGGCTTGACAGCAAGGAACGGCAGAGCCACTTAGACTCCCAAGGTAGTAAGCCACTCAAATTCGAAGCGATGTTAAATCGAGTGGTCCATGTCGAGTGATGCCATAGGGGTATAAAACGACCTAAGATTGAACAGGGGCGAAGTACGCACAGCCAAGCCCTGTAACATCATGCTGCAGCACGTACGTGGTTTGAAGCGTCCGCAGGCCTTTGCGTCTTTGTGACGCACACTCCAACCCTGCAAAACGAGTAGTTCCAGGGTTGATCTCAAAAAAACACACCAAACACAACGTGTTCCACTTCCGCCAAACCAGTACCAAAAAAGAGAGAATATACCCCTTACATGGCGGCCATATTGCTTGTGTACGTCGGTTTGCCGTTAAGAGTAGTGGCTCGGGGTAGTGGAGAACGAATTGACCCCCGATAACCCAAGCACAAAAACTCGGATCACTTCAACCCAAGACTCACTGGCAAACAGCGTTTTGTTTTTTTTTCAAAAAAACAGGCCTCCTTATTTCAACATGATCAAAGTCACCCCCTTAAGTGGGGTAAAAGGAGACAACCAGATTTCCTGACTTTGAGAATTTTTCCAAACCCTCACCCAAACCCCCACCCAAACCCCCACATCCCCACAAGAAACAGTTGAAATCACAACCCCAGAGAATCGTTGCGCTGGCTCTTGGCGAGGCGCGCTTTTGCGCGGCTTTTTGGCAGGCGCCCAGCGCGGCGGTCCAGGTCACCAAGTTGGGCTCCAGCTGCGCCGCGCGCAGCTCCCCTCCCCAAACACACGCGGGGACCGTGACCGGCTGCGGGGCGAGAAGAAACGCAAACCAAAGGAAGAGAGGTTTGCTCGGGGCTTGTGAATTTCTATGTGTTTTGGTGTTTCTCTGCTTGAAGCACGTGTGTGCATGTTGACACCCGCATGGCTGTTATGTACTTATCCGTGTGTCGGGATACAGTTTCAATCATAAAAGAGCTGTAGTTCTCTTGCTCTTTACTGCCTATCTTTCCATCCATCTACCTAGATGCCTGCGCAGCTCTGTCTATCCGTTGCCCAGTACCTGTCTACCTACTTCTCGATCAATCCATCTACCTTTTCATCTATCCAGCTACTAGCTAGCTGGTTACCTGAATATGTTCTTTTGACCTGTCTAATCTAATCGATCTCTCTCTACCCATCCATCTAACTATCTACCTATCTATCCAATGTGTCTATCTAACCCATGTGTCCAACCAATCTATCTATTTGTCTATCTGTCTAGTTTATCCATCCAACAACCAATCAACAAACCCATCTACCTACGCGTGTCTATCTGTCAATTTATCTAACCA